ATATAAACTTATGAACCTCGGGCAGCAGCAGGGTTAAAAACAAACTGACATAAACTTGACTCTAAAAGTAGTTTTATTCTGATCCAGAGCCAACAATGAAAAATTAAAAATATTCACGCTAAATGTTCCAGAGGAATAAGAACCCAGACTCTGGTCTTGTTGGTTTCTGACCTTGAAAGTCTGTGTTTCCTGCAGGTCAGCACGGTGAAAGTTTTATCTGTTTGTGTGCAAACATTTTCCACCAATCCGAGGCGAGGACCGTGGTTTCACACATGTTCCGTGTCCCAGCTCCTCACACGACAGCCTAAAAGTCCAAACGCTCGCCGCTTCAGCACTTTGCCTTTAGCCTGCGGCGTGTGAGGATCGCAACAGGCCAGATGGTTTCTCAGGGGCTTCAGATGACCGGGATCCTGATGGCCTCCGTCGGCTGGCTTCTGAGCGTGGTGGTGTGTGGCTTACCCACCTGGAAGGTGACGGCCTTCATCGGCGCCAACATCATCACGGCTCAGACCATCTGGGAGGGCCTGTGGATGAACTGTGTGGTGCAGAGCACGGGTCAGATGCAGTGTAAGGTGTACGACTCCATGCTGGCGCTGCCTCAGGACCTGCAGGCCGCCCGGGCCATGCTCGTCATCTCCATCATCGTAGGCATCTTGGGCGTCGCCGTGTCCGTCGTCGGGGGGAAGTGCACCAACTGCGTGGAGGAYGAGCGAGCCAAATCGAAGGCTTGCATCACCTCCGGGGTGCTGTTCATCACCTCCGGGGTGCTCTGTCTCATCCCGGCCTCCTGGTCCGCCCACACCATCATCAGGAACTTCTACAGCCCGCTGCTCATCAACGTCCAGAAGTACGAGATCGGCTCGGCGCTCTACATCGGCTGGGCGGCTTCGGCCCTGCTGCTGATGGGAGGGGGGCTGCTGTGCTGGAACTGCCCCCCCAAGAACCAGCACCACTACGTGCCCAAGTTCACCCCCGTGAAGTCCGCCACCGCGTCCAGAGAGTTCGTGTGAACCGTTTCCACAAACGTGCACRGACTCTGAAGGCGGGAAACTGTCGGCTGCTTTGAGACGCGCAGGATTTTTATCAAATCTTAAAACTAAAATACTTCCTGAAACAGAAAAAAAGCTTCTCACAGGACAGGGAGCAGGTTTGTGAAGCTCAACAACAACTTGTGTTGCTTTTAGTGACACATCGTCAAAAATTCAACTTTATTCAAACCTTTAAAACAGGGTTTGCTTCCTTTTATTTTGAAGAATCAAAGAGCCTTGACTGTGATTAAAAAGTTACTTTCAAATGAATTCAACTTTATTATTGATAAAACAGCTCCATGTAACCGTGATGACTCGTTTTAACAAACAGGAGCTTTATTTTGTTTGTCTTTTTGGTCTCAAACANTGTTGATAAGAGCTGTAGAAACTCGGTGATCCTCTAAAAATATTTACAAAGCAAATGTGAAATTTGTGTTGAGATGAAAAATTCTGTAAAGTTAGACGTTACAGTTTGTGTCAGAGAGAGTTTCCACGACAGAAACCAGGACAACCCAGAAAAAAGGAGCAGCAGAGAAGGAGTGGCTGCATTTTTTCCTGTTTTTTTTTTTTTTTTCTTTTTGCATCAGTTGGATGACTGTGAGTCACAGCGGGACACTTCCACCTGTACTGGTTCCCAAATTCACACAAAACCCAACATGATGCCACACGCCTGGAGAAATAACGTCATGGCTGACGTGGGACCGGCCCCTCCTGGGTTCTCTGGATATAAAGGGACCGGACCCAGACCCACTCAGACACTGACTTCTGGGGACCGCTCAAGCAAGACTTGAAGAAGCTTTTGGACGTATTTTTCTGTGTTTTTGAGGACATCTTTGAGACATGGCATCGGCTGGGTTTCAGATTCTGGGAATTGCCCTGGCCATCATCGGGTGGGTGGGGGCCATCGTCACCTGCATCGTCCCCCAGTGGAGGGTGACGGCCTTCATCGGTCAGAACATCGTCACGGCTCAGACCACCTGGCAGGGCATATGGATGGAGTGCGTGGTCCAGAGCACGGGCCAGATGCAGTGCAAGGTCTACGACTCCATGCTGGCGCTCTCGCAGGACCTGCAGGCGGCCCGGGCCCTCATGATCATCTCCATCCTGGTGGGCATCCTGGCCATCTTCATGGGCATCGCAGGAGGCAAGTGCACCAACTGTGTGGAGGACGAACGCACCAAAGCCAAGATCTGCGTCGCAGCTGGGGTCACCTTCATCATCGCYGGCGTTCTGTGCCTCATCCCCGTCTGCTGGACGGCCAACTCCATCGTCAGAGAGTTCTACGACCCGATGCTGGGGAGCGCGCAGAAACGAGAGCTGGGAGCGTCGCTCTTCATCGGATGGGGCTCCGCGGCCCTCCTCATCCTGGGCGGGGGGCTCCTCTGTGCCAACTGTCCCGCCAAAGACACCTACTCTGCCAAGTACACCGGACCCCGCTCCACCGCCCCCAAAGACTACGTCTGAGCCGGGTCACCAGACCACGTCTGGACTTTAGATCCACGAGTTCCAGCTGCTTCATCAGGAGAAAACGATGGGAGCCACACCCGAAAACACCGGAGGACACATCTGAAAATGATTGATGAGCAGAAGAGACAGAGTTCTGGGACATTTGTTTTTATTCTTTTCTGTTATTTACATTTGTTTTTATTCTGTTATTTACGTGCATTTCATTCATGTTTTACACATTTCATATTAAAGTACTTTTTGTGAACTGTAAATAAAGTTTGTTTTTGTATTCAGACTGAAGGTTTTGTGTCATTTTCTAAAGTCAGAAATGGAGCCAGAGGAAAGAAAATATTTTAGATTTTAACTTTTGACTTTATGAATAATAAGTAAATTAAACATTTTAGCATTTTTTTGGTTCAACAAGAGGTCTAACTAAAACAGGAAG